AAAAGGCTAAAAATCACTGAGTTGATTACTTACATCAAGACAAACAAAAAAATGTTTTTTGAAATTGTTTGTTAACATGGACAAACGGTGCATGATCTAACATGCACACAAAAACAGACAGCAAGATAACTTGTTATTCACAAATATTAGCTCAAGAGATAGGGTACGGCCAGCTTTATATGTTAATAAATTAGGCCCTGAATAAAAGAAATGGTGAAAAACAGGTTACAGCCTAAATTAACATTTAAGTCACCTTGACTTCGGGGGATGCACTTCTCTGGACTTCTTACGATTGAACCTGTAATAAAAAGATGTTTGTAAAGGTTTAATGAAAACTAGCAGAGTTAATTTCGTTCTATTATTTCCATAACCTTAATTTTACAGCTAACTTTAGCCACTGCTAGCTCATTTGGGTGCATGTAGGAATAACATCACATTCGAGCTTGACACAAACAGTAACAACACACTCGGACTATCGCTTGCTGAAAAGAGTTATTTATTAACGTTAACATTATTGCCTTGCCGCGACATTACCAGTACACAGGATGTTATCTGTTTTTAGCAGACGGACTGACGGTAACATATTCGCGTTGGCGCTTTCGGGCCATAAAATATGCGCGCGGCACCGGGTCCGCGCTTGCAACTTATATATTAAAAATAGCCTTGTCTAACAGTCGAATATCACGTGAAATATGATATTCATACAAGGTTAAAACAAGCAAAGTAGTTTAAAAGTGTTTTGGCTTACCTTAAAGTTGTTTAATGCTTGATACCACACATCGCTTGAGAGGGTAGCCATCTTGGATATTTATGAGTTCTTTATTACAAGATCAACTTGTGGCAGTTAAACTGGACATTCGGTTATGGCTACTCCTTTGTTTGTTTGTTTGTTTGTTTTTTAAGCAAAGTTAACAAAAAGAACAAGTCAAGACATACAAGCAGTAAAACTCATCTTGGATATTTTTCAGGTAACGTCAGTTAGGGAGGCACGTCATGACGTCATATCATGTGATCGACAGTACACTTAAAAATATTGAGTGAACCAGGGGTGTTGTTCACTCAGAAATGCTGAGGCACAAAAATATAAAAATACATATTTGTTCATACACATTAATAATTTAAAGGTGGATTAACTCAGCTATAGATTTTAGTGACCTCAGTCTTTATAAGCTTGTACTGTTCAGGCTTACGACTAATGGCATAATGAGAGATTTATAAGCAATTTTTTGTAGGCTGGGAATACAAGTGTAACAAAGACTGACAAAAAAACAAAGCACAAACGATGATGAGCAGGAAAATGCAATAACATTAACATCCATTTTACGGAAAAAGAACATCTTCTCTGTGTCAAAATGTCCAAAACACAACATGAGGGTTAGGTGTCCCCCATTTCTTCACCACTATATTATAAATTTAAAGGAGTAGTTCACGTTTAAATAAACTTTTTCTGATTATTTACTCACCCCATGTCATCCACAATATCCACGTCTTCTTTCTTCTTTTTTCTTCATTTCGAGTCATTTTCGTTCGTTGAATGAACCAAATGACTCCAAAAAAAATTCATTCATTTTGATGAACCTTTGGTACCCAATGAAGTCCATTATATGGAGAAAATCCTGTTTTCATCAAAAACCTTAATTTCTTTTCGACTGAAGAAAGAAAGACATGGACATCTTGGATGACATGTGGGAGAGTAAATTATCAGAAAAGGTTTCAAAACCATGCATGTGGTCTTTACAGTTGTTGACATGTCAGATTGACTAAACCAAAGATCTGTTTTTGATTTAAAAAATTGTGACACTCAGAATTTACACACTTTGTTGACCTTTACCTGAGATTTACCTGAGACAAGGAAAGGGCCCTATAGCCTATGTTCAATCCCAAACCTATGACCAAACGATATAAATATGCAATACGCTTGACATGTAAATATCAGTGTGTGTTGTGCTGCAGCGACTATGCCTGCATGCACACACAGCTGGTCTCGGGTCTTTGTCTGACTCAGACTGTATTGAGCTGAAGTGATTGATGTTAATTGTAGAACAGAATGGAGGTATTAAACACAGAGAAACTCACAGCCAAACACATTGCCAAGACAGACTCATTAACCCACAGCTCTTCCTCTCATACCATCTCGAAGCAAGCCATTTCAAACAGAGACAATACGAGTGTGTGTGTGTGTGTGTGTGTGTGTGTGTGTGTGTGTGTGGGAGCCTCAGCCAAAGATCAATAGCCCAAAGCTGCAAAAGCAAAGACATGGGCAATCAATACTGCCGCTACAAGCAGCAAGCAGGGACTGAGAGAAAGAGAGGGGGAAAGACAAGAGAGAATGAATTAAAGGGCCAGGACGAAAAGAAAAACAATCTCTACAAATCACCCTTAAAGTTCAGAGCAACAAAGCCAAAATCCAAGAGTTATGCACATAGCACAGGGTTCTCATCCTTTTTGCCCAGTGTATTTCCGTGACTTTTCCATGACCTTTCCAGTCGTTTGTGATTCACTAATAAATCATTCAGACCAATCTGTGAATCGGTTTGACTAATTCAGAGACTCGAATTCGCTCACAAATCAGACATCACAATGGCTCATGAGCAAGAACACAAGAACAATATCTAGGCGATGAAATATTTTAGAGCATAATTAGCGCAGTGTGCATTCATTATAGAAATTTCCATGACTTTCAAGATTCATTTCACACTGGAAAGCACGATTATAAAATTCCCCAATATTTCCAGCTTTACATGACTGTGGGAACTCAGTCTGTTATTCCCACTGATGACTGTTATAGGTAAATAACACAAATACTTTGTGGATTTTTAAGTGTCTTGAGGCTTCACCTGCGTCTGAGTACATCAGGATCTCAGTGTGTGAGGAACTAATGAGTCCAATGTGCTGAAATCACCTGCCGTACACAACACAAGTATACTGTTCAGTTTATAATATTTGAATGCATAAAAATAAGAATGGCATGCCAGAATTGATTGTTGCACTTGGATACCTGATGTCCTCGAATGAGTTCCTAGAGACGCCCTCTAGTGGAAGCACGGCACAGAACACAATATAAACCGGATGTCGGAGGTGACGGACATTGGGAAGACCGGAGGGAAGTGCTCTCTAAATGTCAGGTGAATTAATAATGGTTCTTATCTGCCTCTTCTTTCCTCCTCTCCGTCCCTCCTTTCCTCTCTCTTCCTCTGAAAAACAACTTTCTTTCCAATGGCACATACTTCATGTGGTGGGAGAGGTTGAACAAGAAGCAAACATGAATGCATTTAGAGGAGAAAGTCATTGTGTGTGTGTGAGTGTGTTACTGGGTGGAGGGGACCAAAGGGATGACCTGCAAGTCCAAATCACTGACTAACTACTGACCCTCATGGCCCACTATTAATAATAACTGTCTTCCAGCTCACACACATGCACATGACTATTGTGTTTGAGTGTGTGCGTGGGTTTACAAGTTATACTTTGAGCTAAAAAATGTTAGATAAATAGACAAAGGACATTCTCAATTAAAGGGATAGTTTACTTTGAAATTAATTTTTGGTATGTTTTAGCTTACCTCAAGGGCATCCAAGATGTATGTCTTTGTTTCCACAGTATTTCAATTTTGATATTTTTAGGTCAAACCGTTCTTCTCTCATATAATGCAGGTCTATGGTCACCACCTCAAAGAGCATGCACAGCGAAGTCCAAATTAAACATGATTTAATGACTCCTAAATGTAAGTACACATTGATGGCCTAAGACACAAAACGAGCGGTTTGTGTGAGAAAACAAACAGTATTTTAGTTTTTACCTCTTAAAAAATGATATAAATATAAATACCGTAAAAACGATATAAATACCGTTCGTTTTCTCACACAAACCGCTCGTTTCGTGTCTTAGGCCATCAATGTGTACTTCCATTTAGTCATTAAATCATGTTTAATTTGGATTTATCTGTGCATGCTCTTTGAGGTGGTGACCATAGACCTGCATTATATGACAGACACGAACGGTTTGACCTAAAAATATCAAAATTGAAAATACTGTGGAAACAAAGAGACCTACAACTTGGATGCCCTTGAGGTAAGCTAAAACATGCTCTATTGGCTGGATTTAATGAGGAATTCAGCTAATCAGACTAGGAAACCAGCAAACTGTCTTAAGCGTCCTTAATGGTTTTCCTTAAATTTGTTAAATCATTTGAAAACTGGACGTTTTGAACTTCCAGATAACATAGAAATAACGTTTTCATAGCCTAATGGAAACATTAGAGAAACGTTCCCATAACATATTTTGGTTAGCTGGGCTAGTGTTGCTTTAGGTCTCTATAAAACAACAGATGTCTAAGGTATGTAGGCTACTCATTTAGATAGTTAAGTAAAAGTGTGTGTGTGAGAGAGAGAGAGACGAGGAGGGGGTTCGGGGAGGGTGGGTGAGTGTTGGCTTGGCTGACCGTCTGCGGTTCTGTCGCGGTGCTGAGAAATGTTCCTTTTGGATCGGACCGTGAGCTTTCATACCTCCCTCTCGCTTTCAAACGAACCGTCTCTCTTCACTCTGCCCTCTTGAGTTTTACAGTCATGAAACGCACCAAAAAGCATCAAAAGCACTAAACTTCTTGAAGAACCGTTAAGCGTTCTGGCTGGTGCTGGTTTACACGAGATGGGGGATTTTGGGCTTGAACCAGGGGCCGATTTTTGCCCTCATAAAGTGTGGGGTTATACTTTGGGACCCGGCCTGAGCTTGTTTCCCCAACGCTTGTGCTCTTTTGTTGCGCACGGTGACATTGGCGAGTTTTTTCGCTGTAGTCGGGCGACATCACACAGAGGCTGAGTAATCTTGTTTGGATCCAATAAGTGTGTGTGAGGGGGAAAGCAGAGAGAGCGAGAGAGAGAGAGGGAGGGAGGGAGAGAAGGGGGGCTGGGGGAGGGAGGGTGGATTGATCTGAAATCTTGTTTTTTTTTTTTTTTTTTTTTTTTTACTTGGAGTGATTTCTGCGCTCTGCCGTGGAGCTTCAGAAGACAAACGAGCGGAGAAGAAACAAGCCGCGTTTACGCACCGCGCGCGCAAAAACGCGTCGTTAGTTTTTGCATCCGACGTTTTACGGGAATTTGTGAATGAAAGCGGCCGAGGAAGAGGAGGCGGTGCAGGTTAAGTTGTATCCAGTGTATGGGTTGCTTTCTTTAATGCGCAAAGAAAGAGGCGCGTTTTACCTCATCGACCGAAGCCCTTACGTCGGGCAGACTTTTGTGCTGTTCTGAGGGGGGAGAGCTGCAAACTTTTTTCATTTTAAAAAATAAATAAAAAGCTCAGATTGCATTCTTTCCCCCTTCAAACATTTTGGAGGTGATGTCATCGGCCCGTGTTTTGGCTGCTGTTGCGCTGGAGCTCCAGAATTGAGTCCGGGAAATCAGGTGCAGGGAGCTGCTGTCGCGGGTGGCTGCGAGCGTGTGCCTCAGTCTCACCCCTCCGCCTTTCCTTTCACTTTCCCCCCCTCATCATCTCAGCAGCCATGACCGAGCGCGCTCCACGGGACCCGGGGTCCAGCTCGCCGCCGCTGCGTCTTCATCGCTCCATCCCCGTCCAGGTGCTTTGCCTCCCGCGGCGCGTCATTTCGCCCGTGGCGGATCAGCATTGACACAGACTCTCTCGCGTGCGCATGCACTCCACGGAATTAATCAGTTTTAATCCTTATCTGTGGAAGGACATTTTCAGCAGGAAAAGTTACGGTGGGACTGCTTGGAAACCTTTGGAAAGTTTTTATGAGCGGAAACTGCGTATAGGTTTGGGTCGCGTTTGAACTTCGATTCACCTGTTCGTCAGACTCCGGAGGATTCAGCTGCGCCCCGCCTCGCCTCGCCCCGCCCCCCTGCCCGTTACCGACCGCGGACCGCAGCCATCCGTAACGGCGGTGGTGCGCTCACACCCCGCTGACCCCGAGCCGCCCGTTGATGGTGAAAAGATGCAGTCCACCGGCGCCAGCGGGAACGTCCGCCGACCCTGCATTCAAACGGATTAAACAAACCGGACAGACGTGAAGCCGTGACCCGGAGAGCCGTTTCTCAAGCGCGCACGGAGCCACGCGGACGCGGAGGAAGCGATGTGGGCCTTTCTCTCCACGGTGGCTGTCTTGTAAGTCATTTCTGAATGACCTCATGCAGAATGAGATGTAATGCGTAAATTATTAATGCTGCTCAATTACCACAAGTCTGTCACTTGACATGGCAAACTCCAAGTCTTGCATACATAATGATCTTTTGAGATTACACTTCTGGGTTACCATGGACACAGATGTCAATCACACCCAGCTCAGGTAAGGCCCATCCAATGAAAACAGCTCCAAAGGTGTGTCTGCCACTTTTCTGCCTTGTTTTTTTCTTTTTCTGTTTCGTTGTGCACACATGGCAGTCATCTTGAGATGGTTATCATTCCTTTCCCAACCTGCGGATGGGACCAAAGGGCCTCTGATAATCCATATCCCGAAAGGCAGACGCTCCGTCTGTCGGTCAGAGCGCCTGTCTGGTCCCGAGCTCTCCGAATTACTAATAATAACGCCCAAGGATGGTTGTAGAAGCAGGCACCTTATCTCCTGTCTGGAAAGAGCAGTGGCCATGTGACCTTCTCCAAAAGGAAACTGCCGTTTAGAGACAGAAAAACATCAAACGCAGCTTTAACATTCTCAGACAGTTGTGCAGAATTAGCCAGGAATCATGTTTGCTTATAGCATGTGCACTTGTTCTCAAGGTTGAACTCACCGTCTAATGATAAAACGAGGTGGTTTCCGTTCAGGGTCTGTAGAAGGAGAAGACAGCAGGCACAGATGTGCGTCAGGTGCGCTATAGAGGTTATTTGTTTGAGATGAGGCGCAGATAAGTTAGTCACCATTTATCAGTTTCGTTCTCAGTGAAGCACCTGCGGTTCAGTGGCTCGCTCAAGGCCGTAGCGATAAGCTGTAGACAATGGAAGAAGACTTGATTAGTGCAACTCGTGTCATCAGGACGGAAATGTGCCAATGAAATGCATGGGATTTAACCTTTTTAAAAACCAATCAATTTCCTAATTTCCATTCCGCTTCACCACATTGTAAAAGTTACTTTTGAGGTTTTCTGGAGAGTTTTACAAGAAAATACTCTTTCAGGGTTTCTACTTGCAGTTTCTCTGTAATCATTTGAAATTCGCTATCAATTTCTAAGTCAAAGCCACATTGCTGGTCTGGCAAAAGTGATGATGTGAAACGGGTGACCAATGAAGTCTCACTTGCCAAGACTGATAAGAACATCAGAAGCAAAGCAGGTTTCAAAATGGTGAGCTTTTTCACCCGGTTTCACAGACGAGGCTTAATGCATGTTTGAGTTGTTTGAGCCAAAAGCAACTTGCATTGACATTTCCTAAACTATGTTTATGTTGAAAGATGCACACTAGTGATGTTTTTTGTGTAAGGCACATTTATAAAAGCAGCTCCTAATTGAACTAAGGCCTAATCCTGGTTTAAACCAGGCCTAGAGGAGGAGTAAAAATCCAGTAAACATATCACCACATCAGGACTGATCCTGCGAGTGCTGCAGAAACCGAGGCTTTTACAGTGACATATCATACATGCAACGGTGCTCAAACGGGACTTTCTGTTCCTGTAGATCTTTCAGAGAACACCACTGGAACATTAATCTTCAGACTCGCAGCACCTACACTGCATTTCTCTTTCCTTCCCTGTGCTGCTATATTGTTTAAAGTTGGCCAGCGGTGTAAATTGTGCTTGAAGGGTGTGCAGGGTGATTTGGGATACGACTCCACCTCGCTGCGCTCAACTCTACACACGAACGCCTTCAGGAATCATTCGGTCTCAGGTTTGATGATGTCATCACCTTGCTTGTTTTGGCCGCCGACAATAGCGCTCAGTAGAGTAAAGCTCGAAGCTACTTTCTTTCTTTCTTTCTCCTTCTCTTTCCCCATTCCCCCCACCTTTCTCTCTCTCTTTCTCTGGCAGGCCGCAGGCTCGTTGCGGTTTGGGAGGGATACGGAGAATCCGAGGTTGCAGCTGAAGTAGTTTTTTTTTTTCTCTCTTTCTCCCCTCACTCTCTCTCTCTCGGTGAAGCACTACTGTTTTAACAGCTGAGAGTTCTTACGGGACCCAGAGCCAGTCTCACCTGCGCAGCCAGGGTTTGGCAGATACACCAACCTTACATGCACAGATCCGAAGCCAATGTGTGCTGATCTGCAGCCAGCATGCACACATCTCTGCAGTGTGCAGTGAGCATGCATGACCTCTGCTGCCTATTAGAGAAACACAACACATGCACACTAATGCATTTCAGTCAAACGTACACACTCTTAGAAGAAATGGTTCTATTTAGAACCAGAAATGGTTCCATCCCCCGCTTCATGTATGGAACTCTATATAGAACCTTTTTTTTTTTTTTTTGGTAAAAGGTTCTATTGGCCAAGTACGGAACCCCAGGGTTCTAAATAGAACCCAGAGGAACCCTTTTTTTTAAGAGTGTATAGAACCTTTTAGGGGTTCCAAATACGCAGCGCTGATAGAACCTTTTAAGGTTCTATATAAAACCTTTTCTTCTAAGAGTGCAGCATGTGTGTATAGTAGCAGCCGAGCTCAGTAAAGCACTAAATATTCTTAATACACTCAATTACATTAATAAGACCTTGCTTAGTACTGCTTATTAATGACACAAAAAGCACAGAAAATGGAAAACAAAATGGTTACTATAGGCGTATTACTTATGTATAGGGGTGTAACAATACCCTCATGATTCGATACATATCACGATACTGAACTCACGATACGATATTATTGCAATACTCCAAGACATGGTAAAAGGTTAACAAAAAAATATACTGTTGATTAAAATGCTAAATTTGATATTACATTGGGTTTAAATGAACAGCCGTGGACTCGATGCTTGTAACCCAAGGACAATGGTGACACCAGAATAACAATATTCATAATTCTGAAGCTGAAAATACTGAATTATTTTAGATGAATATGCTTGCACGCTTCCATTGACTAGATATATTTAAAATAATGTCGGCCACTTTTTACTTGTAACACCAGATATTTGGCATTATCAGGACCCACAAATATTGCCCCATTGCATTATATTGAACATTATATATAGTAGTTTACTTGCACTAAAACTCTGAAAACTTGATTTTTTTCTCACACAGTAATTTTTATTTTTTTATTTCTATCCACGATACATATTGTCACCATCTACAATACGTGTTGTTGCATATTTGTATTGCGATATATTGTGCCACGATATATTGTTACACCCCTACTTATGTATATTAGCCATTGTACAAACACACAAAACTGTTCAAATGTTTGGGGTCAGTAAGATTTAAAAAAAAAAAAAAAAATTTATACTTTTATTCAGCAAGGATGCATTCAAATGATCAAAAGTGTCCGGAAAGACATTTATAATGTTACAAAAGATGTAAATGCTGTTCTTTTGAATATTCTATTCATCAAGGAATCCTGAAAATAACATCGATAACAATCAAAAATGTTTCTTGAGCAGCAAAATCATCATATTCGAGTGATTTCTGAAGGATCATGTGACACTGAAGACTGGAGTAATGATGCTGAAAATTCGGCTTTGATCACAGGAATAAATTACATATTACAATATATTCACATAAAAAAAGCTATTGTGAATTGTAATAATATTTCACAATATTACTGTTTTACTGTATTCTTTTGATCAAATAAATGCGGCCTTCATGAGACTTTTTCAAAAACATTTAAAAAATCCCAAACCCATAAACGCTCAGTTCCTTAGTTTGTGTATACAGCTTCATACATATTAACATCAGAAATGCAGACAGCATAAATCAGTGCACACAGGTGGAGAGGTTTATGTGAGCAGGTGCACACACACATAAACACACATGAGAACCTGGTCAGCACATGCACATCTGGTCAGTGATGATGCCGAGGTGTGTGGCCGGTCGGGGATCTCAGGTATGAAGGGTCAAAGAGCAGGTGTGTGTCGGCCAGACAGGTGAAGCCTGTGCCATTCGGTGACGCGCCGTTTAGCAACATGATACACAGAGTGTCTCTGTTCCATTTACATTGGTGATGTGTTGCTGAGGAAACTTCACAAACACGTGTGAGCTCGTGAGCATATTGGGCCAGTATGAGTGGAGGTGAAGAAAAGGGCCGTCTCGATCCGTTCTGGAGAGCTTTCACACGCTTTTACATTTTCCTACAGCTTCATTTGAACATCTTGTGGAGGAGGAGGAGAACATTTTTTTAGGGTGCAGTGACACTGTTTTACACTCTCAGAAAAAAGGTACCAAAGCTGTCACTGGGGTTGTACCTTTTTAAAAGGTACACTTTTGTCCATTTTAGGTACTAATTTGTACGTTTTATGTGCTAATATGTACATTATTGGTGCTAATATGTACATTTCAGGTGCTAATATGTACATTTTAGGTGTTAATATGTACATTTTATGTGCTAATATGTATATTTTTGGTGCTAATATGTACATTTCAGGTACTAATATGTACATTTTAAGTGTTGATATGTACATTTCAGGTACTAATGTGTACATTTTAAGTGTTGATATGTACATTTTAGGTGTTAATATGTACATTTTATGTGCTAATATGTATATTTTTGGTGCTAATATGTACATTTCATGTACTAATATGTACATTTTAAGTGTTGATATGTACATTTTAGGTGCTAATAGGTGTTAATATGTACATTTTATGTACTAATATGTGATTTTTTGGTGCTAATATGTACATTTCAGGTACTAATGTGTACATTTTAAGTGTTGATATGTACATTTTAGGTGTTAATATGTACATTTTTGGTGCTAATATGTACATTTAAGGTACTAATATGTACATTTTAAGTGTTGATATGTACATTTTAGGTGCTAATAGGTGCTAATAATATGTACATTTCAGGTACTAATATGTACAGTTTAAGTGTTGATATATGTTCATTTTAGGTGTTAATATGTACCATAAGGTACCAATATGCACCCTTATGGTACAAAAGTGTACCTTTTGAAAAGGTACGGCCCCAGTGACAGCTTTTGTACCTTTTTATCTGAGAGTGTATGTGCTGTATAAACGGCAGGAAATGATACGGAATGTCAGTTCAAATCCAAGAATCTGATTGGTTTGAATCGCTTAGAAAACACTGAAGATAATTCAGCATAAAGGCGTTTTGCTGGTTAGTATGACCCTCATTGTAACTAGAATAAACACATCTAAAGTAGTTAACTTTTTTACCTAATCACTTCAGAGCCGCAGGAAAAGAGCCGCTGTGTTTTCCCAGGAGGTCTCCCCTCCAGGTACTGACCAGGCTCAACCCTGCTTAGCTTCAGTGATATAGTGATATGGCTGCTGGCAACATTTCGTCCAGGTCTATGAGCGGGATCTTTCCATCTAATGCACGAAATAAGCTCACACAATTTTCATATGAACGCGACCTGAGATGCGGAGAGCATACGGAGAGCGTCAAATTTAGTTTCTGCTCTGACAGCCACTTGTGTGTGTTAGAAATCAGGAATGGTAAGAGCATTGTGCTTGGTACGTTGTTCGTATCTTCAGCTGACAAAGTGTAAATCCTGTCTGGCTAGAGATAGAGATCTCCCCATAATGTTCACGCGCTAGGTCAATAGGTGGAGAGTTGATGGTCTTCTGTGGCTGTTCTAACACATTCGATCACATGAGCGTTGACACTTCGAAAGCAATCCGGCGAATGCGCTGGAAGTGGACAAGCTCAAAACGTTTCAGACCCTGTATTTATTTAGCGTCGTCCACTAGTGATCGATCAAAATGCATCTTAATACCACGTGTAAACAGTGCCATTGATTCAGCTCTTGTGAGGTCAAAGGTTAAAGTGGCCATATTGTGGAAAACATGATTTCCCTTGTCCTTTGGAATAAGAGTTTTCTGTACTGGGCAAACGCTCTCCATTCATAATGGAAACAAAACTGTAAAACGACTTGTTTAGAAATCATGGTTATTATGACAGCTATGACATTTACACACTAAAGCAAATTTTCAGAGCAACTCACCAACTATTCAGCACTGTTCAGCAACTGAGCCTACCGTAATGAACGACAGCATGGACACTGATAACAGGGAAAGTTCAATGTTATGAACACGTGTTACACTAACATTAATATGGGAATGAAATGTCACTGTGTGTGTGTTCATTTTAAAGAAATGCTCCATTTCAAAACAAGTTCTATGATCAGCACTTCTGCTCGTTTTTTACTGTTGCATATATCCTCCACACTACAACATGCCAAGTCAAGTATATTTGTATAGCGCTTTTCAGAAATGTGTATTGTTCCAAAGTATAGTTTACAGAGTTATGATGTCAATCAATGTGTATAATATCTTAATTCCGTAATGCCATGTACATGTAATCAGATTTGGGGCGACAATACACGTAATCAAGCAGTTTAAATAGATTCCCTATATGGTATATATCGCTTCACGTGAGTGTAGCATAGAGAGCTGTGCAAAAATGTAGTTTAATTTTTGTGATGATATAAACTTTCGAGATTTTCTGAACATTCAGAAATAACCTTTTAACTGCAGAGATGTCAATCGGAAATAATTTAATAAAACAAGCATTTAAAAATAAAGAACATTACAAAATCACTGACTTTCTGTACTAGAAGCATATGAAGCTTTGTGTGAGGAATAAACTACTATTTCATTCAAATTTAAACGATAAACCAACAGCATTCATTCCCACCACTTTTACAGTAAGGCCGTGAGTCCACCAAAGCGTTTTTAGTCAAGTCAAGTCACATTTATTTATATAGCGCTTTTCACAATACAGATTGTATCAAAGCAGCTTCACAGTGATAATTTTAGTCAGCTGAAAACGCTAGACGCTCTGCTGAAGACGCCGTGCTTTGGGCGCTTGAGAGCGTTTTGGCAGCGCAGCGTTTTTTCCGTTGAGACGTTTCGTTGCTATGATACAGAATATCCGCAGCAGTTTAAAATGTTGACAGTTGGTCGGTGTGGTATTAGTCCCGCCCCTCCTCCACTGTGATTGGACGGCTGGGTAAAAAGTGACAGTGATGAGCGCTGCGTTTTATCCAAAGTTGAACATTTTTCAACTCCCAGCGTCCAGTAAAAACGCTGGGCGACTGGCGCTTCAGCTTGAAAAAAAGCGCCTCGGTACGCTCATGGCGTTTAAAAAACGCGGCGCTCCCATTGAAAACAATTGAAAACATATGCCAGGCGCGTGGAAAAATGCTTTGGTGGACACACGGCCTAAGGAAAACAGTAATAAAATTAAAGCTGCAAGCAGCATTTAGCGGTGTTCAAGCAGTTAGGGCCTTTAAGCACAAAATCATCAAAAGACATGTAGCACTAGTTTTATGTAACAAGCATTTAACCACTGACATCATAGATGGAAAAGACCATGTTTTAGCATGATTTACCATGATGCACCACATTTAAGTGTGATTTTCATTATTTACCATGCTCCAGTATGATTTACCATGAATCTAGCAGGATTTGCCATAGTTTCGAACACTTGAACACCTAATCCGAATGAGACTTTTTTGATGGTTACAGCGCCACCAATAGTCCGATCTCCATTAAATTTTGCATGCTTCCTGACCATGTTACGAGTTACGACACATATGATCATCAGTTGAGTTTTTCTTTGGGATTTATTGGCTTTTGTCCGCATTTTGCCACAGACCACTTTCTAAATAACCCTGTTGTAGCCAACCAAATGCAAAATTTCAACTTTTTTTTTTCAATAATCATTGATCTAGAGAGTCCAGAGAATTGTCCTAGACTCTGGTTCCGATCAGGCGAAAACCAGGGACTAGTTTGCGACTAGTTCGGTTTTGGACAAAATCCGCGACATTTGGACTTCGACAAAAATAGCGGAAATCTGGTCCATCTTGAGCCAAGGATCGGTCAAACGGTCTAGGAGTTATGAGCAATTTAGTACTTTTGGTTGCTGTAGCGCCACCTAGGTTCATACTCTGATAGGTTCTCCCCAATTTGAGGCCTTACCATCTGGTCAGGTTTCAAGTCTCTTCAAGGCTGCATGATTCGTTTTATGGGATTTTATTTTTTTATCCTTACAAATACAATAGGTTTGCAGCTCGAACATCTAAAAATAAAAACAGGCAGATGTCTATAGTACAAATTTTTGTAAAGTTCGAAGTTGTAAATAGAACAAAAACTATTGAAGTGCCTGAATATCCAATTTCAGTCTTTCTATAACAAAATTTCACATTTAATTTAATGTGTGACTTGCCGTTTCTTTGTTATTATTTGTGAAATTTACCAGCAATTTTTTTTTTTAGCAAAAATCGTTCCTACCACCAATTTTGGGTGAGTGAGTAAATCAACTATTTCATCCACTTGTATACTGAAGCATTCCTTTAATTGTGTGGTTTTATCATGTTGCATGTGTGTTGACAGGCATGATGGAGAGAGCATGTACATGTGTGTGTCTGTCTCGTTGCAGCTGTCAGCTGGTGAGACGCTTCCTTCTTCTCTCACATATCTCTTCATAGCTGAGGCAGTGTGGGGGAGTCTTTCATTCTCTACTTCCAGACAGGGAAACAAGAGAGAGGAAGGGAGAGAAAGAGCAAGGGATTAAAAACGACAAGATGAGAAACACTCTCTCAATTCCTTTCATATCTCCTCCATTCCTGTCTTTTTTTCCCCCCCTCCGGCATGTTTTCCTCTGTTTTCGGCGTCTCCACTGACCCTGGTGGTGATTTCATTTCGCGGGATGAATTTTTGGGATGTAAACAAGCGACGGCCCGCAGCTGAATCATCCAGAATAAATCAAAAACTACCGTCTTATCGCGATCAGAGTAATATTAATGTTGGAAAGGGCCTTAACCTGGCCGCAGTTCTCACTAATCATTGCGTCAGACAGAGGAAACCTCATTGACTGGGAATCTGGTGGAGCGGGCTCACTGATGCGCTGTTACATCAGGGGTCAGAGGTCATTTCTGGAATCAATGGAATCGTGTTGCTTTTGAAACCATAATCCTTCTCTTTCGGCGGTCTCTGAATAAGCACACACACGACGACGGCGTCTGTTAAAAGACGAGATGTGTCATTTCAGCATCATGAAATAACCATGGAAAAAAATGTTTTTAAACGCCCGATTGGTCTTCCATTGGTGGACAAACAGATAGCATGAATCAAACTCATGCAACCATGTTATGAAAACAACACAGTGTGGCTTACTTAGAAATTACATGAACTTTCTAACATTCAAAAGGCAACGTTTTAGCATTCACTCTCTTCCACATGAATATATACAGTATATTAGGGCTGGATACTAATCGATTCTCATTTTTACGAACCGATATCGATTCTTAAATCTCAAGAATCGATTATTCATCCTGTTTCATTTGATGAATGGAACATTGTATTGCGGCTGCGCGCATCCAAAAAAATAAAAATAAATAAAAAATAAATTTAAAAAAATCGCATTGTGAAATTTGTGTCAATACCCAGCCCTACAGTATATCTATCTAATAAACATGCAGGGAAAATATTCATTCTCTCTGAGATTGGAAAATACCTTTTATACCAAAGACAATTTATGAGCATACCTGTAGTTTGCTTAAAAGACGACTATGAGAGAGGAGATTTTTGACTAGGGTCCGTCGTCAACAAAGCATTTTGGCCTCAGAAGTATAGCAAAACTTGTACACACACCCACACGCTCATGATCTCAGACATTCGGTCATGGGGAGGTCGCGGGGTCACTGGCGAGACGATAAAGAGGAAGTGATGTATTCCGTTTTTTTCTCTCTCTCTGTTCTCAATGAGTGACATCACACTGACCCCACCCACACCACCCAGAGAGAGAACGATATCTGATTCACTGCTTTCTCCAAACATTTGCCAAGAAGGACAGGGAGGGAAAGACAAGAGAAATGTGTGCACAAGATGTGTGTGAGAGAGAGAAAATAGAGAGAATATGAAGGTGAAACACAACCAGTGTCATTTTACCCAATATCAGTTGATATCCTATATAGTTTTTGAAATTCATTTTATGTCTTATTCATTTTTCTTATTTTTGGGAAGACTACTATTTATAATGCATTATAAAAGTATTATTAATGCATTCATTATGTACCTTATAAAGCGTGGTATAACCACAGTTGATTAAAATGATTAATTGAACACGCTTATAGAATGCATTAAAACACATGACTAGCAAACAACTTCAGATGTGCAGGGAATCTGCAGATTGGATAATGCATTATATGTACGTTATGAATATGCATTATAAATTAAAGGCTTTTAGTAAAGTGTTACTCTTTTTTTTTTAATGCCTATATAGATTTTTTTTATGGTTTCAGTTTTAGTAAACGATAATAACCCTTCATTAAACAAACACATTCAAAGATACGGTAACATTACACATTACGCTTCTCATACCACTGTGCTACAGACACTTATTTTGTTACTTTAAGTAATCAAACTTAAGGTTTTCACCTGGTGGATGATAAAACAGCTGAGAAAGTCCCAGCCGTATCTAGAGACCAGATTACAGAGCCAATCAAATCAATGTGCTAAAACCATCCACGCTTTAGAAACCTTATAGCAACATCTTAGCATCAAGATGGGAAAATCCCAAACATATGTGGAATCAGAACTTCTAAAATCAGGCAAATGCATAAAACTGAAGCTCTACCTCTTCTGTTGACCGGCATCATGTTGACTTTAGCATCAGTCCACTGGCCTGCAATCACAATGGAGATTCTCATTAACCCCGTAAAGCTGAACATGAAGTTTATTGAACATTTTGACAAAATATGTGTATGTCTGCATGTTCTTTGTTGAGTATAATATTTTATACATCAGTTTTTTTGGTTCATATAGTCTAGATTAGATTGAATATACAGAATATACTGTATGTCTGGCACCCCAGCATACATTGAAGAGGGAAAGTGTTACAATTCAGAGGCCCAAACTGAGCACAAATATGCAATTTGGTATAAAACATAGATATTTATGTGGCCTGGAGTTCCGATTATGTTTGTAATTCTTCATGTAATGTAAATTAGTGAGATCTTAATAACAATATAGCAAGCAGACTGCATATGAATATCACTCTAGGTCTCAGATACTATGAGTAAAATGATATTTTAATGCTAGTTTTATGATTAAAGCTCCATAATTGTGATATATATATATATATACACACAATGCAAATACAATGATGATTGCGAGAAGAACAAATAAACCTTCCTTAAAGCCTGATGGATCACATTAGCCACATGGTTCTTTTTAGAAAGGTTCTTTCGGGAACCAAATATGGTTCTTTTATAGAAAAAACCTCTTTTGGAACCTTTATTTTGAAAGAGTGCCTAATGAAATGATGTAGGTCGTTATTCAGCTCAATGTTGATTCAATTTAGTTCAATAACGCTTCATTGGTTGATCCGAAGTTGAAGCTCAAACAATCCGTCTCACAGTTTCACGCCGTGAATGGTTTACTTATAGTTGTCTGTGCAAATTTAGCTGGGATAGGAGAAAGGCTTTTTACATCCGAAAAAATAAACACGTCACCTTCAAGTGTATTCGAGGAGAAGCGAAACCCGTTCCTCCACTGGTTTCTGTAGTTTGGAGTTTGCAGAGGCGTTAGTCCCGTTGGGGGCTGTGGTCTCCTCTTTGGCTGTCATAACATCGGACTTTTCACACTGACTTATGTTGAGCAGACGCACTGATCCGTCCTGCGGGCCTGTTCGATTTCAAAGTCACAGTCCCCTGCCAGAAAAGGGCCTGTGGTGATGGAGAACTTTACCGTGGGCCGTGCAGCGCTGCCCTCATCCACTCGCTCTTATGCGCTTAAAATCGTACTCACACCCACGGACGTCCAAGTTTCCATGAAAATCAGAGTTATGCTTCAAATGTCAGGTTTTTCCCTTTTCCAACAACATGTGGAGATTAAACCAAGAAGGGGAAAGTAGCTGAAAATCAAAATTCATATGCATGATTAAAGAACATTAAATGCATTTTTAAATGCATGCTATAGATCTAATTGTAAACAATGGACCTTTTTCACATTTCCCAGGGTTCCCAGGTCACATCTATCCACCTTATTTTTAACGTAAGAGCGATCGGAAATTTGGTTATTTGTAATCTGCGAGTCTTCCTGTGTCATTTGTTTCCAGTTCTTTCTCCAGTTCAATATTGCAAACTGGTATTTGTTATCACATCATTGGTTTGTAGAGCAGATTTCAGTTTACTGCACTGTCATTGTTCTAGCTATTTCCCTATAGCTACTAATGAATCTGATATCTCCCGTAAGGTGTTTATTTGATAAGTAGCAGCATTATAAGTGGGATAAACACTCTTTTGGTATGATATAAGACCCAAATCAAGGTTTATTTTGTGATAATGAGCATCTGACTGTACATTGAGCCTTTACATAAACTTCAAGCTCTTGAGATGTTAATGATAACATCCCTTTCCCAGTGGATCTGCCATCAGCAGGGCTTTGGGATGCAGGGTGGATTTGTTTGTGTTACCATGGTAGCAGTAGCACTCACCTGACCTCTCTCTCTCTCTCTCTCTCTTTCTCCTTAGGTATATCCAGATGATGCTGGTCATGTGTAATCCTCTACAGGTGTGTTAACCTGCTCAACATAAAACAAAATGGACTGTTTAATACACATTCCTGCTCTTATTGTGCACAATTTACCAGTGCATGTCATTTCAAATATGTTTGTCTTAATAATCATACATATTCATTAATTTCCTAACACTTGATACAGTCACATTCGATAACATTAGAACAGTAATTTGGTGCAGAAACAATTTTCACTCAGAAATTGCTTGTGAATTTCACAAATAATTATACAACACATTGAACTAAACAGAAAACTTTGAAAATTATTGTGTATTGTCACATGAACTAACAACGAGATGTGATATGAAATGCCTGCATTAACAATAAACACTATAAAGTCAAAACACTATAAAACCATTAGCGTGGTACTTTTTACAATGATTTCACTACAGAAAAATGTCAGATTAAGTAGGGAAGAAAGAGTGGATGAGGATGTGTGTTGTGTGTGGTCTGTTGCCTGCAGGTGTTTGGAGTGGATGGGGTGAACTTTAGTGTGCACGTGGAGAATCAGACTCGTGCGCGAGACGCCATGAGCCGGCGACATCATCGCGTGTACCAGCTATACAGCCGCACGAGTGGCAAACACGTCCAGGTGCTCGGACGCAAGATCAGCGCCCGCGGAGAGGACGGAGACAAATATGGTAACAACACACACACACACACACACACATATGTCTCACTCTTCTAGCAAACACAGATGAGAAAGGCTGGCCACACACACACACACACAGACACACACACAGGAAACAGGAAAAGTAGAAGACAAAGACTCAGCTACTGCTGATACAGTGATTTACAGACAGGGGAGAGAGAGAAAAAGACGCCAATGAATTCTGCTTTCTTGTACTGTAGGTTTTTGTTGAAATTCCAAGAAAAACATCTCACTCTTAAAGGTTCAGTATGGTTCTATATGAAGAGTTCAGATGCAAAAGCCTCTAAATGCCATTTGAAATTTTCTTCTTTAATGATGATTTTTATCAAACTTGTATATTTAAGTTCAGTAATTTCACTTAAATAACAATTAATAGGTAATTATCATTGCCATTTAAGTGAAATTACTGAACTTAAATAAACAAGTTTGATAAAAATCATCATTAAAGAAGAAAATTTCAAATGGCATTTAGAGGCTTTTGCATCTGAACTCTTCATATAGAACCCTAGTGTTCTTGACTTAATTTAAAAGAACACTTTATGCCAAAAAGGTTCCATACTGTATAAAGAGAAATGTCTTAAATTATTGCAGAATACTTTTTAATGTTCCATTTTTCTAGAGATAAAGTTTGTTTACATGAAAATCATAAAATGTAATCAAAATAAAAAAATGAATTAAAACTAAATGAATTTATTAAAACTAAATCTGATGATGGAACCTCTAAAAGGTTCTATGTGATGCGGATGGCGGAACCCTTTATGATTCTATATAGATCCTTTTCTTCTAAAGGTTTTCAGTTTTATCAACTAGCCCAAATTCCCACTTGTTTCAACTCTAATATTTGCATATTTTCTGTTTTCAAAATAAATTGTGAATTTTTAGTTTAAATAAATGTAACTGTGGCCGTCAGCCGTCCGACCTCTATATATCATTATCGGCTGCTGAAAAACCTGTCAGTCGACCACTATTCTCTCCCCCATCCATCCATTCATCCATCCCCCTCTCCTCCTCTCAATGGTCTCAGATGTGATTCAGAAGCACATTTAAAGGGCATGGGAGTTGAAAATGGATATCTGAGCTCTTCATTCATGGATGAATCTCACAAAAACGTCAAAAAGCCACAGAAATAATCATTTTTAAAAAAGCATGAGAAAGGAAAAAGAAAAATTTTCAGAAAAAAGTAGCATATTTCCCACTCAAATTCTCTATTACAAGACTTTCATTAATGTAGCCGAAACAAAATGTTACTTTATAAATAATAAAAGAAAATATGTTCATGTTTAAGTATAATGTATATAGTGTATTTATTATATTGTTTCCAGATTTCTCATTTTTCTTTAGTTTAAATGAATGCACAAAAATGAATAAAACAATAACTATCTGACAAAAAACAATAAGTAATAAAAATGACAAAAACACACAAGTTACTAAAGCAAACTAAAATTTAAATGGAATATACAAAAATAAAATAAAAAACTATAAAGTAGGTAAAGCATCTAAATGATACTAAAATAACACTGTACTGTAAGTATTTTAATGCATTATAATACACAAATATTATAATACAACATTATATTTAAGACAGTCTAAATGAAATGTAATACAGCAAATACTAACCATTATTTACAAATACTTTAAATTTAAAATAATTAGTTTTTTCCCCCCTATGCATTAATCAGAACACAACTGAATGAGACTTAATTCTCACTAAATGAATGTCAAAATTCGTAACTGTCCTAAAACAAGTTCCATTTTAATTAAATATAATATATTTTTTACTAATAAATAAACGACCTTGACAGGTTTTGTGAGATTCGTCCCCATAATGCAGTAATATTTTTATTGTGAAAACATTGTTCTGAAAGCTTCCGGGTTTTTATGATCGACTCTCCTCATCAGGAAATAAAGGGAAGAGAAAGACAGGGAGATGGGAAGGGGGATGAGGATGAATGTATTTACACAGCGAGTGAGGGATGTCTGGATGAGGAGAGATTGGAGGACGACAAAGAGGTTATTGATCTCCAGTGACCCCTGTGCTCATAAAGGTCACGCAAGGAGCCATTTCAGAGCTTCAACTGCCATATCCTGAAACACACACACACACACACAGGCTGAATGACCTCAGTGAAATATAGCGTGAAATAGAGCTTTTTAAAATCAAGTGACAGAGAGACTATGTTCAGAGGAGTATTTCTAAAGCATGCCGTGCATTATGAATCACCCACCCACAATGAACCGGAAGTGAAGCCGATATTTTTAACTCATTATTAGATCAGACTGCAGAAAGTTAAAACATTTGTACAGAAAATTGGATTTAAAAAGTCATGCGACAAAAGAGTAGCACTATAAAATATTGTTGCATATTTCATATCTTTTATCAAAACGCTTTAAATCAAGGTAAAACAGTCTTTGTCATCCTCCAATCTCTCCCTAAAATGCTTTAAATCAAGGTAAAACAGCCAAAATTATATGAATTAGTTTTGTTTCTCAAATTAACTAAGAAAAAAACTCTGTATAGAAACGGGAAATATTATGGTATTGTTGCATTTTGTTTTGTTTTTAAGCAGCAGACACAGCATACAATGCAGTTAGCAATGTGCTAGCATCATGCTAGTAGCATGTCAGAAATAATAAGAAAAGACTGACAAGGTTATCTATACCTCTGTCAACCGCTGATGCCAATTATATTGAGCTTTTATTTATTTGGCTTAAATCAGGTTATCAATCCCCCCCTCTCCAGTCAAGGCAGCTGCTGAAACAGAGCCATCCCATCAGATTATAAACCTTAATTATGTACGTCATTGGAAAAACCAGAGCTCACCGTGATATTTTAGTAACGTCTGTCTGTCTCTCTGCCTGTCTCTTCACAAGCCCAGCTCGTAGTGGAGGCAGACACCTTCGGCAGCCAGGTGCGAATCCGAGGGAAGGAGACCAACTATTACCTGTGTATGAACCGCAGGGGAAAGCTCGTAGGCAAGGTGAAACACACTTCCTTCACTTAATACATAAGCATAATCATTGTCACTTTCGATATATATATATATATATATTCTGTTTCTATGTTTACGTGCATTTCCTTTAACAAACACAATGCAATATGTATAACCACAGGTGTTATTCCTACTTTTAAAGGAGTAGTTCACTTTAAAAAAAAATAAAAATAAAAAATGTTGCTGATAATTTACTCACCCCCATGTCATCCGAGATGTCCATGTCTTTCTTTCTTCAGTCGAAAAGAAATTAAGGTTTTTAATGAAAACATTCCAGGGTTTTCTCCATATAATGGACTTCAATGGGGTCCAAAAGATTCAAGGTCCAAATGAGAGTTTCAGTGCAGCTTCAAAAGGCTTTAAACGATTCCAGACGATGAATAAGGGTCTTATCATGCGAAAAGATCGGCCATTTCAAAAATAAATAAAAAAGTTTACGTTTTATAATCTGTTATGTGATGCGCGACTCTTCTGTTCGAACTCGTTCATCAAATACATTTCCCAATGGTTCTATAATCTGGCTTACGTCGCTTAGGGCCCACATGAAATCAAAAAGGTGGAGAACCACTAATATCGATCAGATGATCAACAAACATGGATATTTGTGACTATTAGTCCAGTTTTGAGGTCTTTAAATGCATTAAAGGAGTAGTTCACTTTTAAAAAAAACTTTTGCTGATAATTTACTCACCCCCATATCATCCAAGATGTCCATGTCATTCCTTCTTCAGTCAAAAAGAAATTAAGGTTTTTGATGAAAACATTCCAGAATTTTCTCCATATAATGGACTTCAATGGGAACCAAACGGTTCAAGGTCCAAATGAGAGTTTCAGTGCAGCTTCAAAGGGCTTTAAACGACACCAGACGATGAATAAGGGTCTTATCTAGGACCCTTCGAGTCATGACTCGAAAAAAGATTTATTCATTTTGATGAACGAGTTTGAACAGGTGAGTCACGAACGCTCATCACAGAACAGAGCAAGGCGAGCATTTGTGCTTATAAAACTTGAACTTTTTTATTTATTTTTTAAATGAGCGATCGTTTCGCTAGATAAGACCCTTATTCATCGTCTGGTGTCGTTTAAAGCCCTTTGAAGCTGCACTGAAACTCTCATTTGGACCTTGAACCGTTTGGTTCCCATTGAAGTCCATTATATGGAGAAAATTCTGGAATGTTTTCATCAAAAACCTTAATTTCTTTTCGACTGAAGAAAGAAAGACGTGGACATCTTGGATGACATGGGGGTGAGTAAATTATCAGCAAAAGATTTTTTAAAAGTGAACGACTCCTTGAAATATATAATGTTGATGATCAAGCTAACACATGCACCCCTCTCTCTTTGTTTGTGTGTGTGTATGGACTTTTCTCTCTCCCCAGAAGGCCAGCAATCGTAGCGCAGACTGTGTCTTCATAGAGAAGGTTCTGGAAAACAACTACACGGCGCTAATGTCAGCGCGCTACACAGGGTGGTACGTGGGCTTCACCAAAAGAGGGCGCCCTCGCCGTGGTCCGCACACGCTTCCCAACCAGCAGGACGTCCACTTCATGAAGCGCTTCCCGCCCGGAGAGCAGCCGGACTTAATGCCGTTCCGCTTCACCACCGTCAGCAAGAGGAGCAAGAGAGTGCGTGCCGCGCGGCCACGCTAACGCGCACGCCAATATCCCACTGCTAACGTTTACATGAGGACTAGGAATCAACAAAAAGACAGTCCTACTCCCACAGTCCAGTGAAAATGACACTGCTAATGCAAAGCAGGACCGTCTTGTCTTGTTTGACCAGGCATCGCTTTATATTCCACTGGGTTGGACCTCTACAGCCCTAATAATAAATACTAGCTAATTTACACCAGAGCTGCGGTTCACGACAGCTCACTTCTGCCACGGAGATGACTAACCAAAGCAAACACAAGCAAACGGCCGGCCCAGCGCTCGGGCGGAGGAAGCGTTAGGCTGGACATCCAATGAAGACACAAAACACAACCACGTTGGCCTGTAGAAGCTGATCGTGTTGCAATTTTCCTAAGACGAGACTTGGACGTGATCCCGCCTGAGGGAGAGGAGCAGATATACCTGAAGAATGAATGAAAGAAAGAAAGACATGGACATCCAAGAGAGAAACAGAGATAGAGCTACTGTTATATGGGAGTGCTCCTTGGATAAGACACGGTCAGCCAGAAATGGAAACTTGGGCATCGTTTACTCACCTCATGTCACTCTAAACTCGTATGCGGTTATTGTGTCTCTTTTTTACTCAACGGTTTATAGTGATCATGTTCGTCGAGCTCTCGAAAGCACAAAAACACCAAAACGATGATCCATCCCACACATGCGTCATATTCCAGGTCATTTGAAATCATGCAGCAAAAGTTATGTTTTATTAATATTATTATTATAACTTGTTCTCCATACAACAACAGTTCAATAGACAATTACACTCTGAAAAAAAAAAGGGTTGTTTTAACCCAACTTTGGGTCAAATATGGACAAACCCAAACGTTGGGTTAAAAATGTAATTAAAAAAATGTAACCCAATGGCTGGGTTTGTCCATATTTGACCCAAAGTTGGGTTAAAACAACCCAGCAATTTCAAATTTGCAATGAAACGATTAATCTTCCGTATTGTGATGTACGTTCGAATGTGTGATTTCTAGACTTGGATTAATAAATATTTCTATAATGAAATAATTTTTAATTATATCGAGCGCTAAAACATTTAATTATTTGAATGTAGTAGTATATCCTAGTTTGAAGGTTGGAAATAAGTGGCATCAAATGTATTTTCTTCTTAACGTGATCAGTTGTTGATTGGCTGTTGAGATGTGGGCGTGGCTCTCACTTGCAGGGGCGGAGTTTAAGCACACAAGTACTCTGTCGTTTCAACGGAAAATCTAGCTATGACTTTTGATTAAACATTACGAGATTAAAAAATGAAAGCTATAAATGGTTTCAAATCATCATGATGACTTCAGATATATAAAGATAGTGCAAAGATTGTTCATTTTTGGAGCATGAGAGACGTGGTCACTATGAACTGTTAACGTGAGGCGAGTAAATAATGACAGAATATTCCGTTTAGGCTGAACTATTCATTTAAAGCTAATGAACGAATGAATGTAATGCTGTATAATGTGTGATGGTGTATTTCAGGTTGCATTAAAGACAATGAGGGATATAATCATACGTGACTTATAACAAAAGAAGGCCAAATTGCTGGATGGACGGAATCGACCAGAACTGGAATGTAAAAGACAATAATGAGGAAACTCTCTCAAAGCTGCACCAAAAAACAAACTAAACGACCAAAGACAAATGGTGACCAATGACAGTGTGACAACCTGGACAGCGCGATGGGGCGGGTCGTCACAAAATGACACGAGGAGCAACGTTCCTGTTTGGATTCCACGTGGAATGCTGCTACTGGGAAATATAACGGAGAACCAAAGTCTTATACCAGCTTATTAAAGGAAAAACATTACAAAACCTTTTCGAAATATAAATATATATATAAATATATATAAAGATTAATGCTGACTAAGTGATATTACTTTGACTGCTACTATCATTGTTGTTACTATAAAAGAATTTCACTTATTTATTTTATCTCTGTGTATGGCAAAAACCTTTCCAAAGCCAGTAAACTCTACAGAAACGTGTCCGTGTTTCAAAACATACATGTTGTGCGAGTCATCATTATCATCAATCAGCGAACACAGAGTACCAGCATTTTCTCACTGTATTTACCTTTGTTAGTCTACACTCTTAGAAGAAAACGTTCTATATAGAACCGCTGTATATTTGGAACCCCTAGAATCCTTTTTAAGAGTTCTATATGGAACCTTTTGGAATCATTCATTATCATTTGTTTTAAATAGCCTATTTCGTATTACTGTCAAACATCAAGACCCTAAAATGTATTTATGAATGCATGTGAACGATCACAAAATTCAAGATATGGGGGTTAGAAAATGTCTATATTTATATCATTTTATGTAGTTAATCAATATCACAGGAGTTTTTCTCCAAAAATCAACATGATTAAAATGTGATATTAAGTTAATAAACAATAATTTAATTACAACTACAAAATGTTGCAGAATAATGTAATATAGTGTTCTTTCTGGTCATTATAGAACCTTTTTTAGCATAAAAGGTTCTTTGGAGTTGAGTAAAGAACCCTATGCTTCACATATAGAACCCCAATGAACCCTTTTTTCTAAGAGTGTATGTTGTTAGTGATCTGAACAAACCACAAACCAACAGTGCATGTATACCATGTGGACCTGTTGCTTATAATTAAAGCAGTGAAAACACACACACACACACACACTACTGTCACTAACAACCTGTAATCCCGGCAGTCTCTGCTCAGCTGAGTCAGCGGGAAAAGCAAAGGATTCTGAGAGAGAAACAGACTGTTCTGGAGGCGAAGTGGTGGAAAGATTTGTCGGCCAAACCCAGAGGAAGGTGTATGGTAATGCTGGAGGAGGAAAGAATGCTAAATATGTGCGTGAGAACACAGGGGTGACCTGAGACCTGCAGGAATTATGGGAAAAAAAACATATCCCACCGACCCACAGGAAACACACACACCCTCCATCTCTCTCTCTCTCTCTTTCTCTCTCTCTCACACACACACATACGGTCCATTAGAGCCAGACACGCAGAGGTCACGCTCACACATATTCATACACACCCGCGGTATGACACACACCGAACACGTCTGACACACAACACACCCTCAACCAGATGGACGCGCAGACACACTCACACACAGCGCTAAAATATGCTGTTATATGCAGCAAATTACTGGAGAAAAACAGGTGAATCACAAAAACATGTCCAGGTCATATTTCACAGAGAAATTATTACATTTTTTTGCATAAACAAAATGATAATTAAGCACATTACACACCCAAATTCTTCTTATTATGATAAATTCTATATATCACTCATTACCATAATGCAAAATAAATAGAAAAACAACAGTACTACTAATAAAGTATTTCATCATATAGTCCTAAATTGAATTTATGATTTATCATAGTAAAAATCTAATAAGTTATTAGATTTTTTTTTTTTTTTTTTTTTTTTTACTTTATGGTAATGTTTGAAAAGACAAAGAAAATGGCTAATAAAAGCAAATAATAATAATTACATTAAAATGACAATTATACTAAATAACTAAATTTAATTATAATTATTTTTATTTTATTTAATGGTTTTCAGAATTTGAAAATATTAAAAAAAAAGAGTCAAAAAGCAAATAATAACTGCATTTTGTTGGTGGTGGTATTATTACATTTTGCTTACGTGATGCTAAATATAATTTCCTGTTTTTAACCTTTGATGGAAACTAGCTTAAGCTAAATCTGGTGCAAAGCATCTTTAATTAATGTTTTTTGCACATTGTCCCTGTTGAAATAAATAAATAAATGAAATGAAATAAAATGTTGGGGTGAAATTTGTTCGGTATTTGCTGAACAAACCCACACAAAACTCTTCTGTAACATCCAACCACGAATATTCACTAGAAGGCCACTAATATCCCAGTGTACAGACTGAACCCAGGTCATATTGCTGTGCAGTGAATAACCACAGCTCCATCACACACATACACACACTTTTCAGCACAGCAAACCACAACGACATCGACACGCCGCAGCCAGACCCACAATGTGAAACAACGACCGGCTTTAAACATTAAGTGTTCCTTCTCTCTCTCGCCGATACCACAAACAAATTAAACCTGACACATCCTCCCTTTCCAATCCGTAGAAGCACGACAATAAAACTCTCCGAAGACAAATGCCCTTTCTGAAGATGTATTCGGTTGAAATGGGCTGAATCGACTTGCACAACTCAACATTCCCAGACAAACATTCTCACGTTGGCCGCTGGCTTTAAAACGCTCTGCGAGCCAGAGGAATTGTTTGAAATGGGGGAGAGTCTCTGAGGTGCGCCAGGAACCGCTAACAGGTGCAGCGCGGCAGGCCCACGTTTGGGATTGTCTGTGTTTGTTTGGGAATGTTAGGGAAAGGTTTATGACCGACCCAGACCTCTTCTGAACCTGCCTGTGCTATTTTGTGCTCTCTTTTATGCATGTATAGGCTACTATATAATAATTAGGTGTTCAAGCATGAAGTGCTGAAAACCTATTGTATTTGCTAGAAAGAAAGAAAAAATCCCCTAAAACGCATCGTGCAGCCCAAACCGTAAGGGCTGGAGCTGTGAAACTTTGTCAGATGGTGGGGCCTCGAATTGTGGAGAAGCTATCAGAGTATGACCCCGATTGGCCCATAGGTGGCGCTACAGCAGCCAAAAGTACTAAATTGCTCATAACTCCTAGACCGTTTGACTTAGCTTCAATGTTTTTACACCACTGTAATCATAGGTGGCGCTATAATCGCCAAAAAATAGGCTCCTTCAAGCACGAAGTCCCTGGTTTTTTGCCCAATACTATTCTCTGGACTCTCTAGATAAATAATTATCGAAAAAAAGTAGAACTTTTGCTTTTGATTGGCTATAACAGGGTTCGTTTACAAAAGGGATGGGACAAAATGCACCCAAAATCATATAAATCCTAGAGGAAAACTCAAAATTTTCACAAAAATTGATGAGCATATGTCTCATAACATGCCGAAGAAGCATGCACAGTTTCATGGAGATCGGACCATAGGTGGCACTATAACTGTTAAAAAGCTTTAAAACCATGCATTTCCAATGTTAAATTGCCTGTATTGATTGTAAATGGTGTTTTACATCTATTATGTCCGTGGATAAATGCATGTTAAATAAAATTGAATGCCTTTCGATGCTTTTGTGCTTAAAGGCCTGAACTGCTTGAACACCGCTAAATGCTGCTTGCAGCTTTAATTATTATTATTGTTGATGGGGTGTGCATAATCATGACATGAAGGTGTTTTGCATGTTTATGACAACTGTCATTAAGTGTCATTCGCTCAATTATGACATTTTGAATGCCGATATGACATTGTTTGAGATGTCTTTGTTATGACATCAGCATCTTGACAAACCAATATATCATAACCTGTCAGTGTCTTTGTCATGACATTACTAAGACAACACAACCTGTCATAAACATGACATAGCAGATTCATGATCAAACTTAAGAAAGCACTTAGCTTTATTGCTTAAGATTACATTAAACTGTCAGGTGGTTGGTTTTGATATTGGCTGTCATGAAGCCATGATAACTGTGTCATGATTATTCGTGAGCTAGACTGTACAAACTGAATTTGTCATTAAAAAGTTATAATGGCTT